CACTGCGCGCAGCATTGATAAGCTGAAGGAGCTATGCGATGAGCTCAAAACATTGCCGGATGTGCAGAATACGAATGAGCCGATCTACAAGTACCTGGATATCAGCGACCCAAATGGCTTCGACGAACTAATTTCACTGGCCTCCACACGGCGTATCGACATTCTCGTGAACAATGCCGGTCTGAGTATGCGTGGCAGCTGCAAAGATACACCAATGAATGTACACAGACAGGTACGATTCATTGCTGATTCCTGTCATAGCAGTTCGTTTGTGTGGTATTTTTGTTGGATATGGGATGATCCTGAAAGCTGCCCGGGCCCATTACGGATGTTTTTGACATATTGGAGATGTTTTTGGAACACGGACTGATTCAGGACGGTCTCCTGATGGAGAAGACAAGTGGGAGGAGGAGGGGGAGTAGGGCTTCTACCTGCGACGACCGTGGAAGGGAGGAGGGATATGGAGTAAGGCTTCGGGGATGGGGGCTGCGGAAAAGAGTTTTCTACAGTTTTAACTTTAAACCCTGACTTTAGTACCACTGATGCCTGTACCGCTGGAGGTGGCGAAAAAGACCTCTGGCCCTCACCCTTGGATCCGCCTATGTTTTGGAATGATCCCACACGCTGGTCGCGGCTAGGCCAGGCCCTTCGATCCTGAACTGTATGCATCTAGGTAGAACTCATCACCTATTTGACGTATGTTTGCTACCTTTTCGGAAAAAAAACCGTAATAATGATAATATTATAATAATAATGATAATAATAACGATAATAACTTACGCCAGGCAAGTGAGAGCAGTGCAGTAACATGGTACCGTCACACGGATTACCCATGCACTTCTGGTATTCCTTCTGAGCACTTTATACTTGACAGGATTTCTTTTTATGCCATACATCCTCTGCCTTATCTGTGACAGATGTTTGGATGCTGGTTGAGTGCCTGGATCATGAAGGTGATTTTTTCATGTAAGACAACAAATAGGACTTTCAATTTTTATTATTAAAATAGAAGCCCTTGTTTAAAAAAAACCATAATAATGATAATATTATAATAATGCTGGTAATAATAACGATAATAATAGCGACAACGTCAACAATAATAATGACAGTAATAGTAATGATAATAATAATAACAATAACGACAGTAATAGCAACAAAAACAACAGTAATAATAATATTAATGATAAAGCTAACAAAAAAATACTGGGTGTTTTTGAGCTGCGTTTGTTAAATTAATGAAATTGTTGTACTACGCTGGAACTGACTTTGCAGATAATGGAAGTGAATTACTTTGGTCATATCGCAGTGACCAAAGCTCTGCTTGACTATATCCCTTCGGACGGGGCAATTCTCTACATCAGCAGTGTGCAGGGCCGCATTGCGGTGCCATTCAGAAGCGCCTACTCGGCTAGCAAACATGCCGCTCAGGTTTTTATGCGTTTTTTGCAGCTATGCAATGCAGAAAACGCATATTGACGAGAGGTTGTCTGTGTATGTGTGTTCTGTGTGTTCGTCTGTACCGATTTTTCATCTCGAGACCGGCAAAAGCTACAGGGCTGAAACTTTG